CTTCCACTCAGACAGTGGTTGCCAAGTAATGCTCCAAAGTGGCTGTCCTCATTTTTAGGCCTCTGGAGTTCTTTCCTTTCTTCAAAGTTTGGTCAACTGAAAAATCAGTTACTATGAACAAACTTTCAAGCTCCCATGAGAAAGACAAGGTGCATTTTATCCCCATTTTTCAGATGAGGAAATTGAGGCTCAGGCAGGGTAAGAGACTTGACCTGAGGTCCCGTAGCTGGCAGGCGGAACCCCTCTGGACCTTTGAGTCTAAACCCTCACAAAAATTCTGTCTCCTGCAACCTCTCAAAGAGATTTTAGACACAGTATCTGCCTCAGAGGCAGGAAAAAACTCGTGTGTGTGGTGCCTGGAAGCAGGGTGGGGGGGGAGGGGGAGCTGGGGCTGACAGCCGATTCTGAGATCTTCTAGGGGGTGGAGGGCGGAGCAACACAGGCAGCTCAGAGAGGGAGTTAAATTTTGAATGAGGGATGAGGGGAAATGGCTCTGGACAGATGGGGAGTGGGGAGTGCTATAGATACAGGAGAAGGCAGCAAGATGGCCCAGTCACGAGGGAGGAAGGGCCTGGGGGCCGGCAGCGGGGTGGGAGACTCGGAGGCATATCAGCAGTCCCATCAGAGATCAGTTGCAGCATGTGCCTCTAAGACACCAAGAGCTCAGCCCAAACCAGCAACTCGCCCGCCCAGGCTGGCAGGGAGGCCGCAGGAGCCGGCCAGCCTCTGGGCCGCTGTGCCTGAAGCCCTTTGCTCTCCGTTTAATCCGTGAGGCTGAGCCTGGACCATTCACTTTTTCCTGCACTCACTCTTCAAACTACATCCTGCACTTCCAGACCCTGGGGATGCAATTACGAGCAGTTCATGGTCCCAGGGGCTCACAGTCTGGGGGGTGGGGGGAATACAGACTTTCAGACTAGCGCTGACGGCCGAGAATAACAGAGAGGGCCTGAGCGTGGGAGCAGCTAACCCCCCGGGAGAGGGGGCTGGGAGGAACTTTCTAGCAGAGCCAATGTCTGAGCCAATCCTGAAAAGACAAGAGGAAAAAGATGAGAGAGGTCACTAAGCAGAAGAGAGGAATGGCATCGCAGATAGACTACCGGGGGCCAAGTGTACAGGCACAAAGAGACCTACCTACTAGACGTAGAGAGGGATTTCAAGCATGGACCTAGGGCAGAGTCTGAGTTGAGATCCCAGCTCTGCCACTTACTAGCTGTTTGACCACAGCAAGTTATCTAATCTCCTTGTGCATCAGTTTCCTCACCTATAAAATGGGTTGATAATACAGTTAGTTTTTATGAAGTTCAATGGATTTGTATTTGTAAAATGCTGGAACAGTATCTGGCACATGATGAGTTACGTATCTGTCAAATAAAATGTAAGAAGTACTGGAGAGATGGGAGAGGAGGCTGAGAAGCCATTTGAGTGCTAGGCCCAGGGCTTGCATTTTGCCCTGTTGACAGTGGAAGGCCAGTCAGGGCTAAGTGGGCACTCTAGAATGAACTGTGGCGCCCATGGGAGGATGGCTTGGAAGATTGACCCTCCAGGAATGGGTCAGTCATTGATTCCACAGATGTTTCTCCCCTGCTTCCCAGGAGCCTGGCCCTGAGACAGGACTTGGGGCAAGAAGGAGACATGGGAGGACACATCAGCGAGGAGCTAGGGCCCGAGCCCAGCCCCCAAGCACCTGAGTCATTCCTCTCCCCTCCTTGCCCACTTCCCTCATGTTGGCCAGTCCTGTTGGCCAGGTTTTGTAAGAAAAGCCATGGTGAGCACGCAGTGGGCAATGGCGCCTAGCCCAGAAAGGGGCCTCAGCTGTCACTCTTCAGGTCCTCTGCAGGAGAGGGAGGTAGCTGCTGAAACAAAGGCCGTTGCCATCCCGTTGTGCCCAGCAAAGAGAAGTGGCCTGGGCCGGCCTGGCCTCTGTGGTCAGCCCTTGGGTGCGGTCCCCGAGGCGGAGGAAGCCCTTCTCTTCCCTTACGGCTCTCACCCCTCCCCCACGGAATTCCCTTTTCCTTCCTCCTGAACTGATCAGTGGTAAACACTGGACTCCCTGCCAGGCACTGTGCTGGGCATGCCCAGATGCACTAGACCTGGCCCCTGGCCCCCAAGAGCTTGTGGCCTGGTGAGTGAGAGGACCGAGGCGTGTGGATCTGAAAGAAAGAGGGCTTCCAGGGGGCCGGGGCAGAAAAGCCAAATAGGTGGTGTGAAGTTACCCATGGGAGTAGTGAGTTCTGGGCTGGGGCAGCTGTGAGCAGGTGGGATTTTGGTATGAGGTGGGAAGGGGCCATTATTCCAGGCAGAAGCTCACAGCAGTGAGCTCGGGCACAGCCAGATTGGGGGACAGAGAATATAGGTTGGCTTGGTTAGAGCCCAAGGGTTTGTGTCAGGGCATCGGAGGCTGAGTTAGTGCCCTACTGCAGAAGCCACACTTGCTAGGCCTGAGGATGTGGAGTTCATTCTGAACCAGTGGTTCCCAGAGTGTGGTTCTGGGGACACCCTAAACCCCGCCAGAGGATTGGTGAGGTCAAAACCGTTTGCAATGACACTTTCAGAGCTGCCCTGTTTCGTGCCCTTTTCACCCTGTTGATGGTATTTGTATTCAGTATGGTGCAGAAGCAATGGCGCTGTAAAGTGGCTGGGACTTTGGCACAAACCAGGGCAGTGGCCCCAACGTGAACCAGAAGCCATCGTATTTTTCCCACTCACAACAACAACAAAAAAATGCAGTGAAAAGTATTAATTTTAGAAAGCCGGGGTCCTTCGGCATACATCTGTAAGTATCCCATGTGAAGAAATGTGAAGTGTAGGTTAAAGCACTTTGGCAACAAACTGAACCACGATGGTGTCTTGAAAAGCTGTTTTGCTGCTGAGTTGCAAGCTGTATAGTTACGATGTTTAAGGAACACCATCTTAAGGGCACCCAGGTGACTCGGTCGGGTAAGTGTCCAACTCTAGCTTTTGGCTCAGGTCATGATCTCACGGTTTGTCAGTTTGAGACCCGCTTGCGGCAGGCTCTGTGCTGGCCGACAGCGCAGAGCCTGCCTGGGATTCTCTCTCTCCTTCTCTCTGCCGTTTCCCTGCTCGTGCTCCCTCTCTCTTTCAAAATATATAAATAAACTTAAAAAAAAAAAAAAAAGAACACCATTTACTTGAAAGAACACCTGACAGACAAAACTCTTCAGACTTGGGTGTTTGGCAGACAGTTTCTCAAAAATGAATGAAGTGAGCTTGTCACTTCAAAAACACTATCGGGATCTGTTGCTGATGATAAAATTTGAGCCCTTGGAAAGCAAAAATTAGAATTTTAGAAACCTTATATCCACTGTCTAGAGCCTGACAGCTTCCCAGGACTCAAAGGCATTACTGATGAGGCCAGTAGTGATGTTAGCAAGTACGATTTCTTGATGTTGTAGAAGGAAATGTGTCAAAATTTGGAAGGTCTGCGTAACTCAGTAAAATATATTTTCCAAATGCGTCATGTTACAAAATTCAAAATGCAAGTTAGACCAGTGAAAAGTTCATTGATAGGGTTTCGTATTCCACATAGCCACTAACCTTTAAGAAACTACCACTTGTCATGCTTTGATGTAGTAGCAGAGCACATCCATAATTGCCTGAAAAGGCTATTAAAATACTCTTTCCCTTTCTAACTGCCTGTCAGCGTTGAGGCAGAATTTTCTTCATCCACTCAACCAAAACAACATACCACGACAGATTGACTGCAGAGGCAGATATGAGAATCCAGCTGTCTTCTGTTAAACCAGAAATTAAAGAGATTTGCGCAAATTAAAACAGCGCCCCTCTTCTAGCTTTTTTTTTTTTTTTTTTTTAATAAAAGTGTGCGGGGGTGCCTCGATGGCTCAGTTAAGCGTCCGACTTCAGCTCAGATCATGATCTTGTGGTTTATGGGTTTGAGCCCCGCATCGGGCTCTGTGCTGACAGCTCAGAGCCTGGAGCTGCTTCGGATTCTGTGTCTCCGTCTCTCTCTGCGTCGCCCCCACTCACGCTCTGTTTCTCTCTCAAGACTAAATAAAATATCAAAAGAAATTAAAAGTATGTTATTTATGTTACCATTAAAATGGGTCTATTGCTTTTAGATGAGTTAATATTTTTTAAATTTCTCCCGTTTTAATTTTTAATATCGGTAAACAGCAATAGTTCTAACCTCCCCTAAACCAAACCTTTTTGGGATCTTCAGTAATTTTTAAGAGTGTAAAGGGGACCCGGGGCCAGGAAGTTTGAGAGCTGCCACTTTAGATCCTAGAGTAGCCAGGAGTGTGAGCTGGGAGGGTGGGGGTGGCATTCTGGACAGGATGACCTCTCCTGGACATACTGGGGCGGTTCTGACCAGCCCCCTCGGCAGGGCTGGGAGATGCAGGATTGAGAGTCCCAGCTCAATCGCTTCTGAGCTTGCGCAGTCCAGGAGCCTCAGGTGCCCCGCTGGCTTAGCTGGGCCAGTGATGCTGCCTATGCAGGAGAGTTATAAGCCTCCTGGCCGATAATGCTTGTGAGAAAGTGCTTTGTAAGTTGTAAAAGACGCGACAGATATTTGTTTTTGTGGTTACTTTGACTGGAGCCAGTGATTAGCTGTCTCAGATTCGTTCCCCAGACCCCGGAACACCCGTCCGGGGAGTACGAGAGGGCATTCGGTGGCCCGAAGGAGAGCTCCCCACCCCCCACTTCTGCCTCCCCGGACCTTCTCCAGGAGTCCAGGCAGGCGCCACCAGGTGCCAGGTGGAGGGGAGGCTACTGGGCTATTGCTCAGCCTGGCTCTGGGGACTTTGGGAAGAGAAGCCAGGAGGCAGGACTGGTGCGCGTGTGCCCGCCCGCCCACCGGCCGCCTGCTTGCTGCAGGGCCTGGAGCCGCCGCTGGGAGAGGAAGTGCAGTTGGTTACCAATCGGGTTATTTTCATAACGGCTGTCTCAGGCTAGCGGGGGGAGGGTGGCGAGGGGGAGGGGGCAGAGGAGCAGCCACAGCAGCTTGCTCTCCAAACTAGGACTTGCTCAGCCAGAGGCCGGCAGCCTGGAGCCGGAGCCAGAGCCGGGGCTCGCCTGCCTCCTGAGACCCCAGGCCCCACCCGCTCACCCACCACCCGCCTGCCACCCTGCCTTCCAGATCAGGTCAAAGGGGACTGCCCCCAACCCTTGCCTTCTGCTTCCTCCTTCCTGTATCTGTCTGGGTGGGTCTGGGGAGGAGCAGATCAGGGTGGGCCCTGGCACCAGCATTCCTGGATGACACTCTGAAGCTGATGGAAAAGGAAAGGGAAGGGAAAGGGTAGGCTGGGCTCCTGCCGCCACCAGACCCTGGTGAGGTAAACATTACTGGCCTGCTGGCCTCCTTTACAGTGCAAGCCTGGCCCACCTGCTCCTCGCTGCGCATTTGTTTTGTTTTGTTTCAGACGGGCTCCTCTTAGCAAGTAAGGACCTTGGGAGAGCTGAGACCCTGCCTTACCAGCCCCCAGCTGTCCCCAGCTCCTTCCCTCTGACCATCCGGGCTGTGAGAGCCGAGCAGCCAGAAGTGGCTTCTGACCAGTAGCCCCCTGGGAAGGCAGCCTCCAGGCCCTTGCCCGGCAGCTGCTGGAAGTGGGGCCGCTGTGCACCATTCTCATCTCAGCCTTCGCTGAGGAAAGGGGCGTGTGGAGCCCTGCTCACAGCAGGGAGTAGGAACCCTGGCCAAGTCCCACAGGGCGTCCTGTGTGAGCACCTCTAGGGACCAGGCCCGCTTGGTACCAGGGGCAGAGGGCATTTCTTACAGCATGAGCAGTTCCCCGGGTGGCTCTGGCTGCTGGGCTCTGTTCTTCATGCAGTGGGTGGTGGCCACCCTGGGTTCTCCTGCTTCCCTTTCTGGTTCCCACTCCCGCCATGGGCAGAGACAAACCCCAGGAGATGGCACGGTGTACATGCCCTGCGTCTGCCGTGGGCGTAGGCCCTGCCATGCCCCTACACTCTGCCAGGTATTGTCGGGTGCTTTACACCGTCAGCTCTTCAGAGTCTCCCTTATGCCAGCCTCCCGAGCCAGTTGGTATCATCCCCGTTCTGCAGGTGAGAAAATTGAGGATCAGAAGGGTTAGTTGATCCACCCAGGAAAGCAGTGGCGGCCACAGGCTTCCAAAGCCCTTGGGCTTTTCCACTGGAAACTAGCATGAGGTGTGAGATAGTCTGGGCTGAGAGGCCAGGAGTCTGGTTCTTTCTAGCCAGCAGCCAGTAGCCAGTGAGGCCAGGGCGCTCGTGCCTGCTCGCCCCCTGGCAGTTGCCCACAGCCACACTCGCTATTCGCCAAGGGCACGAGGCCAGATACTGCCATGAGTGTCTCTCCTGTAGCATCCTTTGTCCTCGCTAGGCTCTCAGCAGCCAGCTGGAGGTCCGTGGAGCCCTTGAGGCCTTTCCCATCCTGTCTCTTTGGGTGTGACAAGCTCCCCACCAGAAGGCTGAGGGCAGCCATTTTGCTCTGCTGTTGGTGGCAGAAGCCTGTAGGCTTCTTCCAGTGACCTTTACACGTACCATGTGGTATGTGGAAGATGACAGAGCATGAGGTGAGAAGACACTGCTGCTCAGAGCTGTGGGGAAAGGCGGGGACAGGTCGGAGGCCAGGCTGGGCTTCTGACTGGACCAGTAGAAGCCTCAGCCGAGATAGGAAGTCAGGAGTCCAGCTATTGCTGACCAGAGGACAGAGGTTTCTATGGAGACCAGAGGAGCAGGAAGCATGGGCCCTGCAGGGAGGGGGCTTTGGGAACATAGAGGCAGGGGTGCCTTGCAGGAGAGCTTGTCATAAAATGTCAGTTCAGCCAGTCTCATAGCCTCCTTGGACAAACAGGGAAACTGAGGCCCATGTGGGGACAGCTTTGCACGTGGTCACAGCACACTGGCCTGGCCTCGCCTGTCTTGCTCCTTGCTGGCAGTGACCACACCACCGGGCGGCTGGCGAGACTCCTGGACAGTTGAAGTTGGGGCTGCCCGGCCGTGTGAGGGCTGGACCGTGTCGTGTCAGTGGCCCGTGTCACTGGCCCCTCTTGTCAGGGTGGGTCTGGGGTAGCGGGCAGGGCCCAGACCTCCTCACTTCTCGCAGAGTGCCTGGAACACCTCCCCCTACTGACTGTGGCCTTTTGTTTTCTGGGTGACACTGGCATCAGGCGGTGTGTCCCGGTGACTAATCCCCTCCATGCCTGGCAGCTGTCACAGGGCAGCCTGACCAGACGGGCGGGGAAAGCTGACACCCTGGGGGAGTGCTGGCAAGCCCGTGCCCAGGCAGCAGTGGGCACCTGTGCCTTCAGGCCTCTCTTCCTGGGTGTAGAGCAGACCCGAGTCGGGCAGACCTGGGTTCAGGTCCCAATTCTGCTACTGACCGGCCTCGTGACCTGGCCATGTATTGGGGCCTTTACTGCTCTTGTTAGGGTTCCCTCCTCTCTCCCATCTCACTTTGATCCCAGTCTCATGGCCCAAAAGGAGAGAGCCTGCTTTCCACTACATCTCTGGGATACAGACTTTGCCTTCAGGTAGACTTGGGTTCCATCATTGGCTCCCCTTTGACTAGCTGTAGACTTTGGGCAGGTTACCGCCTTGTGCCTCAGTTTCCCGTCAGGAACATGGCATGGTGCAGTACCTATTTCATGTTGCTGTGGTTTATAAAATGATATGTGTGTTTGTGAAGGGCTTAGCAGAGTGCCTGGCACATGGTGGGCACTCGGTAAATGTCAGCTGTGTTGATATTGATTTCAGTAGGAAGCCAAGAGCTCTCTGTCCACGCCCGTTCTGCCCTCAGAGCTTAACTCCTGCCCTTCTCCCTGTCACCTGCAGAGGCTGGGGGCTGTAATAGGCAGACACCAAGAGCCAGGCGCTCTTAAACCCTGCTTCACCAGGCACGCTGCCTCAGCTGCTCACCGGTCACAGGAGCTCGGACACCTTGGCCCCATCTGCCTCCCCCTTAATGCCTGCGCCCATCCCGGGCTTCAGCCTGCCGTTGTTTGCCTGGACTCACAGGGTGGTAGCACAGTAAAGAGTGGGTGTGTGGGTGGTGGGAGGAATAGGCAGTAGACACGCAGCCCGAGGCTGAGTCCTGCAGCTATCTCTACCATCATTTGTCCAAGGCTCCCCCCACCATGCGTGACTTCTGCAAGGCCCTCAGCTAGCAGACATCCTCTGGCTGTGACTCAGACCTCTCCGTGGCTACCAGGGCCCAGGAGATCACCTGATGGCGGGGTGCAGACATCCCTGAGCATTCTGCAGGCGGCCCCCACCCCGAAACGTACCAGGCTTCCTTCCCTTCCCCCCTTGTTAGGAAGAGCTGAGGATGCAGTAATCCCAGTAGCCTGTGAAGAAGGGGCAGCCAGGAGTGGGTGAGCTGGTGAGGGAAGCTGGGCCCTGTTCAGAACAGGTCAAGGGAGGATGGTTTGAGTAAGGATGGCCCCGTGGGCTCCTCGTCCTGCAGGAGGGAGCTCTGGGGCAGAGTTGGAGCTTCTAGTATTGGCTTCTAGGTCAAGGTGCGCTTCACAGCCTCCTTTGACAGCAGGGCTGGAAGGGCTTTCAGATAGCACCTGTCACCTGGTACTTTCCCACATGGGAGGTCCATGCTAGACCTTTCCAGAAGGGTAACACCAAGCAGTCTAGTACCAGAAAAGTTCTTTTAGCCCCTCAGAGACAGAGATGCACACCCAGAAGGCTTTTCTCTTGGCTCAGGCCTCTTGGTGCTCCCCATGCAAAGTCCCCCTGGGTGAGGACTGGGGTGGCTTTCTCCCTGTGCCTCACCCCTCCAGTTCTGAGGGCCCTGTTCCCCAGCCCTTATGATCCCTGAGTCAGATCCTCTCCATTTCTGGTGCCACTCTCAGCCTGACCCCATGACTTGGGGGGCTCTGGACTGGGTTTCTCTACTTTTTTAATGTTTGTTTATTTTGAGAGAGCACAAGAGTGAGTGTGAATGGGGGAGGGGAGGGGAAAGAGAGAGAGAGAGAGAGAATATCCCGAGTAGGCTCCTCACCGTCAGCACAGAGATGGGGGCTGGATCCCACGAACTGTGAGATCACGACCTGAGCTGAAATCAAGAGTTGGATGCTCAACCAGCTGAGCCACCCAGGCGCCCCATGGGTTTCTTTTCAGAGAGCCTCATTTTGCTACCATAGCTTAGTTTGCGCTGTGTCCTAGGAGGGGACACCTAAACCTAAAACCTGCCCTGAGTTGGTAGCCAAACAAAGGCCCAGCGAGAGAAGACAAGGCTTGTCCTTGGCTCCCAGTCCATAGAGGCTGACTGCAGACTAGAACCCAGGACTGCAGGCTGCCAGCTCCCATGTTTTCTTTTCCATCGGCTTCAGGTGAGAGGAGCAGGCGCCAGGGCTTTGTGGGTTATGGTGCCTGGACAGGAGAGCCGCATGGGTCGCCAGAAGCCCCTTGTGCCCGTCACTGCTGAGCAGCGTGGGCTGTAACTGGGGAGAGCACAGTGCTTCCACCAGTGGTAGCTGCGGGCTCCCTGGAGGACTCCGTGCTACCTTCCAGCACCCTGTTTGTGGAGGTTAGAGGCCGTGGGTCCTCCCCCTTCCTCCCTGTGTCCCTTCTCTGCTCAAAGGGCCGAGGCTGTGGCTGGGCTCCGAGGCACAGGACGGGCCCTGGCCTGACCCAGCTCCTGATGCTCGCGATCTCTGCCCAACAGCCATCTGCCTGCCCCTGCCATGGAGACCTTCTTTAGGAGACACTTCCAGAGGAAGGCACGAGGCCCTGGGGAGGGGCAGCGGCGGCCCAGCAGCGTGGGGCTGCCCACAGGGAAGGCGCGGCGCCGCTCCCCGGCCGGCCAGGCCTCGTCCTCGTTGGCACAGCGGCGCCGCTCCAGTGCACAGCTCCACGGCTGCCTCCTGAGCTGTGGGGTGGGGGCCCGGGGTGCCGGCCGCCGGCGCTCCAGCACTGCACCCCCTGCCTGCAACCCCCGCTTCACCGTGGATGAGGCGCCCACCCTGCAGCCTGCTGCTGTTGGGGCGCACCTTCTGGGCACACCCCTGCTGTTGGCTGGGCTTCTGGGCACGAATGAGGAGGAAGACATGACAGCTGCGCCATTGAGTGCCACGCAGCCAGGCGCCAGGACACCAGGGCCGTCCTCGCACCGGGGCCCCCTGCTGCCTGTGCCTCCCTGCCTGCGCCGTCGCCGCCGCGCCTCCTCCCACCTGCTCCCCGCTGATGTGGTGTATGACCATGCCCTCTGGGGCCTGCACGGTTACTATCGGCGCCTCAGCCAGCAGTGGCCCCCGGGCCAGCACCCTGGCCCTGGGGGCCGAAGAGTTTCAGGCACCACAGCTGGCCCTGTCATGCCTGCTCGCGTGCGCCCGCTGTCCCGCAGGCGTCAGGTAGCCCTCCGGCGCAAGGCAGCGGGACCCCAGACCTGGAGTGCCCTGCTTGCGTAGGTATAGCTGCGGCCGGCAGGGCAAGTGTGCTGCCCCTGAGGGGACTGGCCTATAGGAAGGACCTTGAGGCTCTGCCTGGCCTGAGGGCACCCCCCCCTTGGGAATGGCTTTGAATAGGGCCCAGAAGCCAGCGCAGTCCCCAAGGGCTATGAGGAGGGCTGCGTCTCCTGCAGGGAGCCTTGGGCTGCCGTGGGGCATCTACCCTCCTCTTTGCGGTCCCTGGTTTAGCCAAAAGTTAAAGTCACAATGAGGGTGGAGATCCCAGGTAAGGGGGGAAGGAAGCAGAGTCACCAGAGGCTCAGCTGGCCTCCGCGATCTCCTTTCCTGTAGGAAAGCCATCACCAAGTCGGGCCTCCAGCACCTGGCACCCCCTCCCCCTGCTCCCGGGGCCCTGTGCAGCGAGCCAGAGCGGCAGATCCGGAGCACTGTGGACTGGAGCGTGAGTGGCGGGGTGCTGGGAGGGAGGGACAGGTGGGTGCCAGCCCCTGCCGGGCTTGGAGCCACAGCAGCAGTTGCAGGTGAAAGGAGGTGCTGGGGGCAGCTGTGAGAGGAGCCCATGGGCCTTTGGGATCAAGGCAGACCTCCTGGGGTGACCACACTTGAGCCAAGCCCTCAAGAGCAGGGACAGTGGAAGGAGCGCCTAGCTGGTTTAGTTGGTGGAGCTTGTGACTCTTGATCTTGGGGTTGTAAGTTGGAGCCCCACGCTGGGTGTAAAGATTACTTTAAAAAATTTTGTTTTTGATCCTAAGAGAGTAGGGACGTTGGGGAAACAGGATGGAGCAAAGTAGATTGTGGTGGCTGGCGCAGGTTTGTCTTGGGAGAGAGGAGGGTTGGTGGGGCAGGACAGGGACTGACTGGTGGGCTGGGTGGCAGGTTTGCGCTGAGCACATTTGTCTCGTGGTCTAGGAGTCTGCGACGTATGGGGAGCACATCTGGTTCGAGACCAACGTGTCAGGGGACTTCTGCTATGTTGGGGAGCAGTACTGTGTAGCTAAGATGCTGGTGAGTGAGCTCTCCGCGGCATGCTGCCCCCTGCTGGTAGAGTAGGTCTAGAAACCTGTAGACAAGACCTCTGCTGGCTTTCTTGGGAAGGTGGGAACAAGACTCTCACCTGAGTGTCCCTGCTGCGGGCTGCCTGGTGATGGCAGGAGGAACGGGGGCTGTGTTCTGATGCCAGGATCAGGGGTTCCCAGTGGACACAGAGGGCAGATGGAAGGATTTCTCTTCTGGCCTTGGGGCAGCCTTCTGGATGGAGTTACCTGGTGCCTCAGGGCCCTTTCTTCATTTTCTGCAGCAGAAATCAGTGTCCCGGAGAAAGTGTGCAGCCTGCAAGATCGTGGTGCACACCCCCTGCATCGAGCAGCTGGAGAAGGTGAGTGTGAGTGCTCAGCCTTTCCTGCCTGTCCCCTTTGGGTGCTGCAGTCCCTTAGCAAACACGCATGTGTATCTCTGCACTGATACTCCCATCACGAGCATTGCCTGCCCAGAGTGCCCCAGCCTGCGTGGTGGTGAAAAGCCAGAGACGCTGGAGCTGAAATGCCTGCGTTTGAGTCCCATTTCCCTCCACCCCTTTATTGGCTACCCTATCCCCACTGCCCAGAACAAGGCTGGCACAGAGTGGGGCTCACTGTTACTCTGTGGGATAAATAATGGGCAATGGCCGAGACAGCATTTTATCAGCACCTAAATTAACATTTAGAAGGGGCCGTGGTCTTGCTGAAGCTTGTGCAGCCCTGAACCTTGGCTCTGGGCCCATGCTTCTAAAGCAAGGTAGAGGAAACACTGGGTGGGCACATCCGGGCCGAGGTGGGGGGGGGGGCGCCCCAAGCAGTAGCAACCCCGATCAGCACATGGGAAAGCCTGCAGGACTAGGAATGGCATGAACAAGGCTAATGTGGGTCACTTACCCCAGCCCCTGACTCATAGAGTGAGGTTTCCCTGCAACTTTGCTAAGGCCAAAAGCAGGGACAGTTGGGGAGAGAGAGAGAGATATAGCCCCGGTGTTACAGAGCCTAAGGTGGAAATCAAGCCAGTTTTCCTAAGTGAGCTAATGGTCTCCCAGGACCAGCCAGCACAAGTCTGCAAGCAAGGATCGGGGTGCCTGCACGTGCCTAGGTTGGGAGCGTTGGAGGGTAAGGGGAAAAGGTGGGAGAAGTGAACCATACTACCTTTAATGGAGGCTGGGGGGGGGGGGTAGACACAAAACTCCAAGTCTCCCCCATCCCAGGATACTGACAGAGGAAGGATAAAGTCCTTCTGGCTATAGTGGAGAGGAGGCAGGGATGCAGGAAGGCTTCTGAAAAGACGTGTCCCACATGCTGAGGGCTCGCAGGATGATTTGGGGCCACCTCTACCTTGGGAGTGTAACTTTGAGTGACACTTCCCTGGAGTAGGTGGCTGTCTGCCCTCTGTGAAAGGAGGCTCTGACATTTGGATGGTTGTTACAATGTTTCACAGATAAATTTCCGCTGTAAGCCATCCTTCCGTGAGTCAGGCTCCAGGAACATCCGTGAGGTAAGTGCCCGGGGTAGTTCTGGGTAAGGACGCCCCAAGTTTCCTGAGTGGACTTCTCCACAGGGTCCCCAGAGTGCCACCAGGGTGCTCAGCTCCTTTGAGGCTGCTCTGGGGCCCAGGGCCGAGGCTCTGAGAGTGTCTCAGTGGGGAAGGCCTGGAAGGCCCTGCCTGCAGATAGGGTGGGGCACTGCCTGCCTCTTGTGCCCCCTCACTCTTCTCCCTTACCCTGAGCCTCAGCCCCCATCTTGAGGCCATGGAGAGAAGTCTCCAGCCCCTCTCACCTCATTCACACTCCTGCAGGGAGCTTCCTGCAGCCTCAGCCCTCACTCCCGTGATCCTCTCTCTTCCTCCACCAGCCAACTTTTGTGCGCCACCATTGGGTACACAGGCGACGCCAGGATGGCAAGTGTCGGCACTGTGGGAAGGTGAGGCCCTGCCCAGGGAAGGTGGCCAACCTGCTGACCACCGGACCTGGCCCTGCGGCCCACGCGCCTCAGGCTATGCATACAGCGTGACCTGCCCGTCACTAACTGTGTCCCCTGAGCACAGAGTCCTGGGGCTCAGTGTCAACCTGGCTGAGGTGCCCAGTCAGTTCCGAAACACCCAGGCCTCTGGACAGAGCAGGAGAGCAGGGAAGAAGGTTATCTTCCAGTGCAGGGTACCTGGGCTGCTTGGAAGTGACATGTGAGCCCTCTGAGAATTAGGGTGACTTCCTCATTGGGTAACTCGGCAGATATTCACTGAACACCTGTTGGGTGCTGAGCACCACTGGGTAGTGGGTAGTGGGTCCCTGCCCTCTTGGAGGAGGGCATGGCTTGAAGATGGGCTCTGCGGGCAGTCTTCCTGAGCCCAGTCCACAGTGTGGTGTTCACTTAGTCGTTGTTTGCCTCCTGTGTGTCCCTTTCCGTGAGTGTAGGCTCTGGAAGGCCGAGGGGCCTTGTCGCTCTTGTCCTTTGCCCACTTTCAGTGCCAAGCACAGTGCCTGGCACCCAGCAGGCCCTCTAACTTGTGGAACGAACACAGGAATGAATGTGATAGGTACTATGAGGAGCGGGAAGCACTGTAAGCACGTAGAAGTCTTGGGCTCGGGGTCAGGAAGGAGGGGATCTCAGGAGGCCGGAGCTAGCCGGGCGTCCTTTGGGCAGGTCACGTGTGTGCACCCAACGCCTTACAGTTAACCTCAGAGAGTCATAAGCCTCCCTGCTCCAGGGGCTTATTTGGGGGGGGGGGGGGGGGGGGGGGGGGGGGGTGTGTGTGTGTGTGTGCGCGTGTTTTTAATGTGCTCAGTTTTCCTGGGTGGAGGGAGGCTGGCAACAGAGGAAAGGCTGGGCCCGGTCCCTGGCACCCAACCACTCCCTTGCCCCTAGGGCTTCCAGCAGAAGTTCACCTTCCACAGCAAGGAGATCGTGGCCATCAGTTGCTCCTGGTGCAAGCAAGCAGTGAGTGCTCGCTCTGCCCCCACCCCCCCTGCAGGCTGTGCCCTGGGCTGCGCTGCATGGGGTCCCCAGGCCTCAGTGCGGCCCAGGCTCAGCAGTGCCCCCTCCTCTCTAGTACCACAGCAAGGTGTCCTGCTTCATGCTGCAGCAGATCGAGGAGCCGTGCTCCCTGGGGGTCCACGCTGCCGTGGTCATCCCACCCACCTGGATCCTCCGCGCTCGAAGGCCCCAGGTGAGTCTCGCCTGCATCCTTGGCACCGCTCCCGCATTTGAGCTCTGCTGGCCACCCCAGCCCGCCCACCCTGTCACCAACGCTCCTGCTGCCCTTGCAGAATACCCTCAAGGCAAGCAAGAAGAAAAAGAGAGCATCCTTTAAGAGGAAATCTAGCAAGAAGGGGCCAGAGGTTAGTCCTGGTGCTGGGTGGGCCACTGGAGGGGAACAGGAGAGAGGGGCCTGTTTCTTGGGAAACTGAGGCCCCTGGACTGATGCAGCCTTTCGTGGGTCACTTTGGGCTCTGGACCCCGGAGGAGGGTGGGAGGCCTCCTTAAGTGGGAGGCTAGGCCCACGTAAGGTCTGGAGGTAGTATGTGAGGGTGCACTGCCGAAAACGGGGGTAAGGTCTGTCAGGACAGGAGAGAGCCTTACTATCTGTCTCTAAGGAGGGCCGCTGGAGACCCTTCATCATCAGGCCAACCCCGTCCCCCCTCATGAAGCCCCTGCTGGTGTTTGTGAACCCCAAGAGTGGGGGCAACCAGGTACGCACAGCCCCGCCTCTCCACTAGGAACCTTGGGGGAGGGACGGGGTCTAGCTCGGCACCCCTCCCCTCCGCAGCCACTGCTCCCTGGTTCCATGGCAGGCTCCTGCCCTATCCCTCTTTCCCAGCGATGCTGAGGAATTCTGATTCTGTCTCCACCCCTCACCCCTTGCTGCTTCCCAGAGCCACAGCCACAGAGCCACAGCCATCTCCTGTGCTTACACACACACACACACACACACACACACACACCCACCCACCCAGCCACCCACCCACCCACCCACCCCCCCCCCGCTCTCCCTGCCGCCACTTCAGCCCACCAGCCTTAACTGCCTCCCCTGGTCTCCTGCAGGGCGCTAAGATCATCCAGTCCTTCCTGTGGTATCTCAATCCACGACAAGTCTTTGACCTGAGCCAGGGAGGGCCCAAGGAGGCGTAAGTACTTACTAATGCTCAGTGGGGACAGTGGCCGGGGCTTGCCTGGCACTCAGGGTAGGGTGCACGTACCCTGACCCTTCCGGTCCTCTGACCCCAGGCTGGAGATGTACCGCAAAGTGCACAACCTGCGGATCCTGGCATGTGGAGGCGATGGCACGGTGAGTTCTCCCTCCTCTCGGGGGCCTGGGCCTGGGCCTGGGCCCTGCTGCTCTGACCTGGCCTCCTGTGCTCTGCCCCCTCCAGGTCGGCTGGATCCTCTCCACCCTGGACCAGCTGCGCTTAAAACCACCGCCTCCCGTTGCCATTCTGCCTCTGGGCACCGGCAATGACTTGGCCCGTACCCTCAACTGGGGCGGGGTAAGAGCCCACGGGAGGGTAGGGGAGCTGGAGATGGTTGATGGGGCTCTACAGGCCTCTCCCCAGGAGAGGCTCAGTTCCTGCTTTGTCCCACCAGGGCTACACGGATGAGCCTGTGTCCAAGATCCTCTCCCACGTGGAGGAAGGGAATGTGGTGCAGCTAGACCGCTGGGACCTCCGTGCTGAGCCCAACCCCGACGCAGGGCCCGAGGAGCGTGATGAGGGCGCTACTGACCGGGTGGGGCATCCAGGGCTGGGCCGCCAATACAGGGGGCGGGGGGCAGTCCCGGGAGACCTGGGCTGGGCTCTTTTCTCACTTGCCAGTTCTGGGACTTGGGGCATATCTCTCCATTTCTCCAGGCTTTCAGCAACTTCTGTACAATGGTAATAATGGTGCCTCACACGCGAGTTGTTATTCAGCCACTTGGCAAATATTGACTGAATATCTACCGCATGCCAGGCACCATTTTAATTGGCAACCAAACAAAGTCCCCGTTCTCATGGAGCTCCTACAGAATATGGCACTTGGGGGAAGAATCATTGGGGGAACAGAAAGCCAGGGAAGAGAGTACCAGCAGAGCCGAGGGTGTTTTGTGTGGGGGGCACTTGGAGGAGCCTCACCGGAGCCGGGAGCGGAGAGGGCAGAGCCTGGGGCAAGCGACTGGCTGGAGGAAGAACTCTGTGGTGGATCCTCTTAACTGTGGGAAAGGCTTCCAAAATGCATGGGCTAAATGAGCCTGGTGGCCCCTGGCCTGAATCATGCCGGAGCTGGGAGGGGGTCTGTTAGGCCCAGCCCTCATCCTGGGCCCTTGACCTTTTTCCAGCTGCCCCTGGATGTCTTCAACAACTACTTCAGCCTGGGCTTCGATGCCCACGTCACCCTGGAGTTTCATGAGTCTCGAGGTTGGCAGCCTCTTGCTGAGGAGGCATTGGGAGGCTGGGGAGGGAGAGACACGGAAGGGTCCCTGAGAGGGTCAGAACTTGTCCCCAGCAGTAAAAGGAGGGCACTTGTTCCCAGCCCTTCCTCCCACCCCAGCTTGGGAAGCCCCAGCAGGTTCAGAATGACTGACTGTCCCCTGCTTCTTACCGCCACCCAGAGGCCAACCCGGAGAAATTCAACAGCCGCTTTCGAAATAAGATGTTCTACGCCGGGGTGAGTCCAGGGTCTGCCAGCAGTAGCCCCCAGCATGCCCACTATTTTACCACCTGTGCCCCCTGCCCACCTGTGTCTGTCAGACCACTTTCCCTGCCAGGCAGTGGCGAGGAAAAGTCTCTGTTACCAGATGGTGATGCCCTCTGTCTCCCACAGACAGCCTTCTCTGACTTCCTGATGGGCAGCTCTAAGGACTTGGCCAAGCACATCCGGGTGGTGGTAAGTGGACCACGCTGGGAGGCAGAGTAGGTGGGCCCATCAGGGAGGAAGGCCACCTTGGCACGGGTACATACCTTACAGCCTCCCCTGTTCCTGCCTCCAGTGTGATGGAACTGACCTGACCCCCAAGATTCAGGACCTGAAACCCCAGTGCATTGTTTTCCTGAATATCCCCAGGTGAGGAGGGGAGGGCTCTGTGTGGGCCCAGCTGTCTCCATCCTGCACGACTGTCCTCTGAAGGCCCTTGTGTTGCCCTCCCCTCCAGGTACTGCGCAGGCACCATGCCCTGGGGCCACCCTGGGGAGCACCACGACTTTGAGCCCCAGCGGCATGATGACGGCTACCTCGAGGTCATTGGCTTTACCATGACGTCCCTGGTGAGTGGGCCAGCATGGGACCTGCCTGGAGCCCCGGCTCTGCTTTGCCCCTGGCTCTGTCCCTACAGTGACCAAGAATACTGTTCCAAGATGGAAGCGGCGGGGGCGGGGGGGAGGGGGGGAAGGGGGGGATTACTGAACTTCCCTTCACTGGCTGAGATAGGAGAATTCATGCTCGTCTCCCTGGCTGGGGTCTCCCCCTCCCTTCTCCCCTTCCCCCACCAGGGTCTCACTCTCCCTTCCATTCTCTGACTGGGGTATTGTCCTCCCCCTGATCCCTGTCTGGGGGTCACTGTCACTGTGTTCCCTGGCCAGAGCATCCCTGGGGGGAACAGAGCTTGGCGCCCCACCACCCCTGCCCTGGCACCTGACCTGAGCCTTTTGCGCCCACAGGCAGCGCTGCAGGTGGGTGGGCATGGCGAGCGGCTGACACAATGCCGTGAGGTGGTGCTCACTACGTCCAAGGCCATCCCGGTGCAGGTGGATGGCGAGCCCTGCAAGCTCGCAGCCTCACGTATTCGCATCGCCTTGCGCAACCAGGCCACCATGGTGCAGAAGGCCAAGCGGCGCAGTGCCGCCCCCCTGCATAGCGAGTATGTCCCCCTCCTGGCCCCCGCCTGCCCTGGGCCCAAGGCCAGACTCTGCCCCTCTCTTGGGCCTTGGTTTCCCCAGCCAGCCCGCCAGTCCCTCAGCCCCAAGGAAGCTGGGCAGGGCCCCTCGGTGTGTGGCTGGCCAAGGGTCCCCACTGAGTGCCCTCTTCCTGCCCGTGCCTCAGCCAGCAGCCAGTGCCCGAGCAGCTGCGGATCCGGGTGAGCAGGGTCAGCATGCATGACTACGAGGCTCTGCATTACGATAAGGAGCAGCTCAAGGAGGCCTGTGAGTGACGGGTGGGGGGCGGGGGTGGCAAGGAGCTGCCAAGCCCTGAGCCCTGAGGGTGGGGCAGGAGGAGACGACCAGCTGCTGATGCCTGCCCTGTCCCCCAGCCGTGCCACTGGGCACCGTGGTGGTCCCAGGAGACAGCGACCTAGAGCTCTGCCGGGCCCACATCGAGAGGCTCCAGCAGGTGAGGGAGGGGGTCAGGAGCCTGGCCCGCATGTGCCCGCTTGCTGTAGCTTCTGTTCTCTCCCAACTCCTGGCCTTCGCTTCTCTCAGCAGGAGCACGAAGGTGCTGGAGCCAAGTCCCCCACCTGCCAGAAACTGTCCCCCAAGTGGTGCTTCCTGGATGGTGAGTGGCCCTGAAGGACCAGCTCCTGGCAGTCCCAGGCTGTGTCCTGTCCCCTCGCATGGGACCCCTGGCTGGGCAGCAGAAAATCTGGGCCTGGACAAGGGCCTCCTGCCCTCTCAGCCAGCTCTCTGCCTTCCCCGCAGCCACCACTGCCAGCCGCTTCTACAGGATCGACCGGGCCCAGGTGAGCCCCCGCGGCCCTCCATCCATCGCTGGCTCCAAGCCACCCCAGGGCCCTCTCCCGTTGGCCCACACTTGCACAAATGGGCTCCCCCACCCTCACTCCTCACCCTGCGTGGCGCCCGCACACCTGCTCGGGCCGCAGATAGGGCGTGGCCCTGCCTTCCGGGCTGGCGTGCACGCCGCCAACAGTGAAGGGAGCTGGCATTCCCAGGAACATCTTGCCGGGTGGGTGCAAGGGCCTGGGAGCATAGATGCCACCCAGCGAGACCCCGATGTGAAGGCACTTCTGGCCAGAGGCTGTGACCTGGGTAAAGGCTCAGCAGGGGGCAGGGCTGGGAAGGCGAGGGGAAGAGAGACTGGCAGGGCCCCTCTCCTGGCCTGCACCTGCTCATGTGCCCGCTCCTAGCGAAGGCCTCGCCAGGTCCGCTGGCCGTGCCGCCCTGCACCCCCACCATCAGCTGCCCTGGAAGATCCTGACCCTTGGTCCCTGACCTCCCCCCCACAGGAACACCTCAACTATGTGACTGAGATCGCACAGGATGAGATTTATATCCTGGACCCCGAGCTGCTGGGGGCATCGGCCCGGCCCGACCTCCCAACCCCCACTTCCCCTCTTCCCACCTCCCCCTGCTCACCCACGCTCCGGTGAGTCCTGCGGCAACTCCAGTCACCTGGCCCTAAACCCCAGCTACAAGCCAGGAGCTGCTGAAGTCCTGCCGTCCACACTAGACATGTGTCCAGTGTCAAGCTAGCTGCCGGGTCCCCACAGGCTGAGTCATTGGCGGAGAACTGAACCTGGCCAAAGCCCAGTTGACCAGTCCCTTGCCCCCAAGAAGGTGGCATTACCATCCACCCTGCTGCACTGGGTTCCCCCCCAGTGACTTTGTGAGCGAGTCTTGTCCCCTATCCGCCAACATCCGATCACTCCAACCTCACCCCGTCCCCCTGTCCTCCTCCCCCACTGCCCAGGACCTTGCCCTTCTGAGGTGGTCCCCGCCTCGTGTGCCTTCCTCTGCACTTGTCCTTCCTGCCTCAGACACATCCCCCGTTCCTCACCGAGCTGCCCCCTCCATTCAGACCCCAGCTTGGGAGTGTCCTCCCCTGAGAAGCCTTCCCAGGAACCCGGCTAAAGTTCCCGTGCCATCATACCACGCAGTCTCTGTTCCTCATAGCGCTTCCCGCTCTCAGAACGCCCTATTTATTTGTTCACTTGTTCGGCTCCCTGACTAGAATGTGAGCTCCGTGAGAGCGAGTTCTCTGTCTCGTTCACGGCTGTACCGCCGGCACTCAGAGCAGCACTTGCCATGTAGGAAACACTCAATAAACTGTTGAAAGAACGTGGGGCGCGCCTTGTGGCGGGGAGGGCGACGGGCCGGGCCTGTGCCGTCGCCGGCTCACCTCTCACCCTGCTCTACTTGCAGGTCACTGCCGGGGGACGTGGCAGCCCCTAAAGGTGAGGGGCCCTCCCTTCTCCCTGGTCCCAGGTGGGGTGGGGCCCGCACACATCCTCCCTCGACCACAACCCGCAAGGTCCATGTGGTCCCATGGACCACAGCCGAGCCCTCGGCACGCCTGCCCCGAGGCCCCCCTCCCCACAACACGTTCGTGCACCCACACGAGCCGGGCCCCCCCCCCCCCCCGCCCCAGGGTAACAGGCAGGCGTTCCGTGCAGGTGAAGAGCTGATTGAGGCTGCCAAGAGGAACAACTTCTGTAAGGTACTCGCGCGGGGCCCAGGCCTTCCTCCCCTCCCCGCCCGGCAGCGTCCAGGGAGGCAACGTGGGCAGGGCCGTTGGGGGGCCCGAGAGTTGGCCTGTTTGGGTGGGAGTGGGCATCTGTCCTCGACTGGCCCTCTGCAGGATCTTCGTGGTGATTGTCCCGTTCCACCTTGCCCCTGTCCCTCTCCAGCTCACAGGGTCCCTTCATAGGGGCTTCCTAGCACAGCCTGCCTGTCCCCGGTGCTTAGAAAGGAGCAAGTCTTAGAGGAACCATGGGCTCCAGGGCTTGGTCCTCAGTGGTCCTGAGGAGTCCATGGCATCCGGGGTGTGAGAAGCCCAGGGTCTCCCCTACGCTCCAGAAAGACCCCCAGAGGGGTTATGCGTGTTGTGAGCACTATAGCGTCAGGCCTGCGGCCTGTAGGAGTTGTGGGGGAGGCATTTCTGTGGCTGGCAGTAGGGCGGCCCTGAGGAACCCCAGCCCCGCCCTCTGCCTCCTGCCCTCAGCTCCAGGAGCTGCACCGAGCTGGGGGTGACCTCATGCACCGGGATGAGCAGAGCCGCACGCTCCTGCACCATGCAGTCAGCACCGGCAGCAAGGAAGTGGTCCGCTACCTGTTGGACCACGGTGAGCGGTGCCACTGGGGGCCCCAGGCCGGGGCCAAGGTGGGAGGAGGGGAGGATGCCAGGCCTCGCTGACCTCCCCTCCCCTCTTCTCCAGCGCCCCCAGAGATCCTTGATGCTGTGGAGGAGAAGTGAGTATCTGGGCGTTGGGAGACCCTGGTTGCCCTGGAAACCACCCTGTCTTCATTGAGCCCCTCCCATTTGGCTGGTCAGAGCCCATAAACCCTGCCAGGCCATCTCCGCCCTGCCCTTGCCCCACAGCCCTGAGTCTCGTGCTCTAACAGCCCCTCTGGAAGCAGACGAGGGGCCCTGAGAACGGGATGGGGGTCCACAGCCAGCCCCTGTTTCCACAGTGGGGAGACCTGTCTGCACCAGGCGGCGGCCCTGGGCCAGCGTACCATCTGCCACTACATCGTGGAGGCGGGGGCCTCTCTCATGAAGACGGACCAGCAGGTGAGACGGCCAGCAGGGAGTCTGCACCCGCAGGAGCCAGGCTGGCCCCCCAAGCTTGGGCCTTGTGAGCCTTGTGAGCGGGGAGCCACTGGGGCCAGCTGCCTCCTAGAACCCCGAAGCTATCCTTCAGGCAGCACAGTCCAGGGCGGGAGGGGCGGGGGCGGTTGACAGCCTGGCCTTTGAGGCTTTCCCCTCCCCCACCGGCAGCCTGGAGGGATAGTCCCTCAGGTCAGTAGGTCCCTGAGCTGATGGCAGCAACCCCCTCACCCAGGGCGACACCCCACGGCAGCGGGCCGAGAAGGCTCAGGACACCGAGCTGGCTGCCTACCTGGAGAACCGGCAGCACTACCAGATGATCCAGCGGGAGGACCAGGAGACGGCCGTGTAGCTGTGACAATGCTGTGGCACCAAGGAGGGGTGGGGCCAGCCTGAGGATGAGCCCCCTCATGGCCAGCCTCGTGGCCACATTCCAGTCGGACTCCCGCTGGCAGGCCCCAGGGAAGGGGCCCGTGCTGCCCCCCTGAGGAGCCGCCCAGGCCTCGGGCTGGACTCTGAGGAGTGGGGGGTGGGGGGTCTCGTCTGTCCCCCTGAGGCTCCGGCCTGACCCAGGCCTTAACAGCGGAACAGGAAACTGGACTGGGCTGGGCAGGCGTTGGGGGACCAGGGGCAGACCTCTTCAAGGCAGCCCTCGCCCTCACTGCAGCAGGTGCCCTCCGCCGGGTTCAGGGGTAGACGGGGGGGGGGGGGGGGGGGGGGGGGGGGGGGGGGGGGAGGGCAGAGGGGCTCGAGGTCCTATTAGGGAGCCTCCAGGAAGAGGCTGCCTAAGCCACCTGCTCCTTTAGGGCCCCGCCCTGAGCCTCCTGGCAGCTTGGGCCCTCTCTCCTGCCCGACCCCACCCTTCCCAGGGCCTCCTCCCAGAAACAGAGCCTGCCGCATTTGCCTGCCCGCTGCCCTGCTTGGCACCTACCCCCGGTGACCCTCCCTGTGTACCCAGTCATTTCATCGCCGCCTGACTGTGTGGCCTGGGGGTTGGAGTGGGGCTCTCGTGGTGACATGTTTACAGCTGGGTGTGACTCAGTAAAGTGGATTTTTTTCCTTTCTGCTCTTCTTTTTTTTGCCGGGAAGGTCTTCCAGAAGCCGCGGGGGTCTGGTGGAGGGGTTCTGGGCACCCTGGACCCAGACCCTTTTCGGGGAGGTGGGGAGGGGGGAGTCCCAGGGCCTGGCCGAGACCTGACCTCTGCCTGGCTGCCGAGCTCGGCGGGGCCGGGGGAGGAGCTGATTTCCTCCCGCTTCCCGCTTCCCGCAGGGACGATAACAATGAAAGTGAAAGAGAGGTGGGGCGGGGGTGAGGCCTGGATCCTTTGGCCCCTTTGCCCTTTGGCCTTGGCAAGCCCCCTCCCCCAGGCCTGTTGCTTTTACTGTTAAGGGGGCCAGGTGAGGTGATCCCCCAGGGTCGGAAGGGGTGGGCGTTTGCAGCCGCTGCCGTGGCTGGGTCTGGAACTTCTCAGACGGCTCTCGTCAGCTCCCTAGCTTTACCAAATCCAGCCTGCGGGCTCCTCCTCCAACAACTTCCCCCAGCTCCCGCCCCCGAAAACCTGCGCGCCTGGAAAGGCACGCCGTCCCCCGCGGCCAAGCGCCTCCTCTGGGGCTCTGCGTCCCAGGCTCCCCCGACACGGAGCAGAGCATCTCCCTGCTCGCTCGGTGAAGCGACCCTAGGTGGGGGCTTACGCTCCTTCCCCCAGCAGCTAAGGGGGCGCAAAGGGCCGGTCCTCGACGGGGTTAGTCTTCGGGGGACGGAGCCGCACACAGGCTGGAACGCGGGCCCCTCGCCGAGCGCCGGGACCCGTCACACCCCCGGGGCCCCGAGCTCCCTCCCAGTCTCCATCCTCGCGGTCTCCCCTCCCCAGGAGGAGAGGCCGGCGTCCAGCGGGGAAAGAGGACGGCCCCAGGGAGGGGGCAGAGGCGGGGGCGGGAAGCTGGGGCTCGGGCAGGGGGCAGGGGCCAGGGGTGCAGAGGCAGGACAGAGGCGTGGGGCCGGGAGACCCCGGGCTCAGAAGATGGGGGACCGGCAGAGCCGGTCGTCTGAGCGCGGCCGGGCCGGGCGGGGCGAGCCGGGTGGGGTGCGGGGACCCGCGGCGGGAAGCAGGGGTAGAAGCGCCGGGGGCGCGCGGGGCGGGAGCGGAGGCGGGGACGCCGGGGTCTGGGGGCGGCGCGGGTTTGAGGGGTGGGGGCGGGGCGGGTTCTTCCTCGGTGGGGGGGGGAGGGGGCGGGGGCCCATGTGACCGGCTCAGACCGGTTCTGGAGACAAAAGGGGCCGCGGCGGCCGGAGCGGGACGGGCCCGGCGCGGGAGGGAGCGCAGCACCGCGGGCAGCGAGCGAGTGAGCGCGCGGGGTCCCGGCGGGCGTGCGGCGGCGGCCTCGGCCCCTCGCCCGCTGGGCCCCAGCCGCCCTGGGGGCCGGAGGCGGGGTGGGGGTCTGAGCTGCGTCCTGGGCTCCAGGCCGCCCCCAGGGAGTCGCCTCCGGCTGTGCGCCCCGGCCAGCGGCGAGGGGCCGGCCCCAGAGTCCTCCCTCCGCCGCTGCCGCCGCCCGAGGGCCTGGACTGTGGGGACGGGGGCGGGAGGTGCGCGCGTGCGGCCCCCCGTGGGGAAGGGGGCAGGCGGGGGGGGGGGAGAACTCTGACACGACCTCTCCCCCGCCTCCCCCCCAGGATGCAGCACCGAGGCTTCCTCCTCCTCGCCCTCCTCACCCTGCTGGCGCTCACCACCGCGGTGGCCAAAAAGAAAGGTGATACGGGGTGTGGGGCGTTGAAGGCGGGCTGGAGACGTGAAGCTGGCAACCTCTGGCCTGGCCTCCGGGGTTCCGAGCGCAGGACCCCAGGAAGCGGCCCCCGAGTGAGTCTCTCGCGCCGCGGGGTCCTGAGCTCCGTTCCCCGTGTGTCTTAGACAAAGTGAAGAAGGGCGGCCCGGGGAGCGAGTGCGCTGAGTGGACCTGGGGGCCCTGTACCCCCAGCAGCAAGGACTGCGGCGTGGGTTTCCGCGAGGGTACCTGTGGGGCCCAGACCCAGCGCGTCCGGTGCAGGGTGCCCTGCAACTGGAAGAAGGAGTTTGGAGGTGAGGTGGGGGTGCAGGCGGAGGGCAGGAAAGAGGGAGGGGGACACAGCCTCGCTGAAACCTGGGCAGGGCTGTGGCCTCCAGCCACCGGGCCGCCCGCTGACCCGGGGCACTCTCCCGCCAGCCGACTGCAAGTACAAGTTTGAGAGCTGGGGAGCGTGTGATGGGGGCACGGGCACGAAAGCCCGCCAGGGCACCCTGAAGAAGGCGCGGTACAACGCCCAGTGCCAGGAGACCATCCGCGTGACGAAGCCTTGCACCCCCAAGACCAAAGCCAAGGCCAAAGGTCAGGGAGGTGGGGGAAGGTGCGGGGTCATTGCAGGGGGCTGCCACCACCCGTGAAAGGGAATGGTTAAGCCTGAAGTTTTGGACTTTGGCGAGAGACTTCGGGACATCTCTGCACTTGGTTTCCCTGTCTGTAGAGCTAGCTTAGGTGGGCACATACCGAGGGGAGGGGGAGGGGGCGCAGAAGGGACTCATGGGTTGTTAAATCTTCTGGCCCGAGTGGAAGCACAAACCTGCTCTGTTATGTTAGAGCATTTTGCTTAGGGTTCAGGGAAGTTGACCTGGAAGGGCTTGGCTTTGTCATCTCTCCAGCCAGAGGGAGCACTGGGTCAGCTTGGGTCCTTTCTACTATCAGAAGGACTTCACAGCCCACACTTCTGCTATCCCTTAGCCCGTTCCTGATTCACAGCAGCCCAGAGAGGACCTCAGGGCAGAGGTGAATCAGCCCACTTCTTAGGTGAGGAGGCCGAGGCTGGCTGAGGGCTGCCGGGGCCAAGAGCCGAAGGTTTTCTGAACTTCAGTGAAAGTAGAGGTTGGCGTGGGGCAGGTCCAGCATCAATATGGCTGCACTGTCCCACTGGCCACCAGGTCAGCTGATCAAGAGCCACTAGGGGGCAGAATTTTCTCTGTAATGTATACGGTGGGGGGGGGCGGGGGGGGCGTCTCTCTTGGTGACCAGGACTCCTCTAACGCATTATTTCTCGCTTGTATGACAGCCAAGAAAGGGAAGGGAAAGGACTAGCGGCCGCGTCTGCATGCCGAGGAGCCCGTGCCCTCCCTCCCACAGGGCCAGGATCGAACCTACCAGTGCCTTTTATCTACTCGTTAGCTTTATCAATCATTCCCTGCTTCTTCCCTTTCACTTCTCCACCCCCAAGCGTCCCAAATGGGGAGGGACAAGGCAGTGTGGACCGCTTGAGCCTCCTGCCCCAGAGGGATGTAATTCCCCGTACCCCCTTTTCTTCCCCACAAAGATGCCATTACTAAGAAACAAATAAACTGTTGTGTTGTTGTTTTTCCCAATAAAAGCTTTTCTTTTAATATATAAAAGCCCCTTCCCAGGGAGTTTGCTGTGGTAATTTGTTGGGATGGGAACTGGTGAAGGAGAGGGAAGGCTGTAGGGACTGTGGCTTTCAGGGGCTGGGGGCTTGGTGGTGAGTGCTCCCAGGGCTCATGGGAAAAGCAGAACGGTTTTGAAAAATTCTCCCAGGGCCCCTCCTGCCTCCTGAAAGGGGGTCCCCATCAAGTCCCCTGAGCCTTTCGGTCTGGTCTTTCCAGGGGCCACACCAGGGCTGGGAGGAAACCTGGAAGATTCCCTAGAACTGACACTCCCTGTCTCAGCCACACTCAACCAAAGGCCTTTTGGTACAGCCCACTACCACTAGAAGGTTCTGTCCGTTGGGAGAGAAGAGATGGGGGCTGCTTGCCTGCCTCACTACCCCGGCCCTCACTGTCACTGAAGCCTGTGAAGGTCAAGTCCACCCCCATTCTCCCCTGTGACCCAGGCCTCCTCACGCTCTGCAGAAGCCTGCTGGGAGAACTCAACAGGATCGGGTGCGCCTCTCTGCTCAGCATGGGATCTCAGGAAGCCGGACCTCCATTCCTGAGTGTGCACCCCTGACCTCCCAGCTGCCCTGTCCTGAACTGAACGTGCAGGGCTGCGAGGGGGATGTGGCAAGGGGCCCCCAGAGCCCGCTCACCCACCCAGGGCCTGGCTGAGTGGCTGCCCCTGGAATGGGACCTGGGAGGAGGGGCCGAGCCTACATGCGGGGTGCAGCTGGGAGAAAGCACCGACTACAGCACATGGGGGACCCTAGCCTTCCGCTCCCTGCCCAAGCCTCCTTTCCAAAGCATCGGCTCCTTGGCTCCTCCCCCGGGGGGCGGGGGTGGATCCTGGGCCTTTACTTCCCTCCAGATGTCATTATTTCAGCCACGCTGGTGGGTCACAGTGGGGCAGGTGCCCCAGGAGGCAGTGCCTCCCAGCTCCCTGAGGGAGGGCAACAGAGGTGGGCCAGGCAGTCTTGGTTCAGACGCTTCTGGGGCTGAACCTCCTCAGCCTGAGCAGAGATCTGGTCTCTCTGAATCCTGCCAGAGATTCTTCCTGAGCCTCACAGGGTCTTGGGGACCTCAGTTCTCCTCTTCAGTGAACACGAACACAGAGAGATGCTTCCAAATCTCTCCCTGACGGCCACGTGAGAGACCACATGGCTCAGCACACACACATGACCACCAGCACCTTCTGTGGCACGCCCGCCTGCCTACCTGGCAGTGCCGATGTTACGATACTGGCACAGCAGCAGATGCCTGAAGGTCTTTTTAAAGGTGGCGTTGCAGAGGGCATAGCAGGCAGGGTTGATGGTGCTGTTGACGTAGCAGAGCCAGTAGCCGATGGACCACACCGTGTCGGGAATGCAGCTTTGGCAGAAGGTGTTAACCAGGACCATGACGTTGTAGGGCGTCCAGGTGAGAATGAAGGCCAGCAGGATGGCAAAGATGGTCCGCGTCACCTTGCGCTCCCGGGCCGCCATCTGCCGCTTCTTGCGCACCTGGTTGCGGGCAATGCTGGCGAACTTGCGGGCCACGTTGGCTGCCGGGCGCATGCCAGCTGGCGTGGCGGGAACGATCTCGATGGCTGTCACGCACTCATTACCCGTCTGCTTCGTCACAATCTGGATCTTGGACCATTTGGAGGCCGGGTTGAGGGCCCGTGGCTGTAGGGGAGGGGCGGGCATGGCAGGTGTGGTGGCGTCTGTGGTCGACAGCTCTGTGGGTGGTCGTTCCTTGGTGTTCTGTGTGGCACTGCCGGAGCTGGACTCATTGGAAGTGTCCTTGTCGGCCATTGGGCGCGGCGGGGGTGGCAGGGCCGGGGGGGGCGCCTCCTCTAGCTTGCCGTTGCGCAGCTCCTCTTGAGCGACTTCCCCTGGTGGGGGTTTCTTGATGCTCTGCTTCATCAGGGGGCTCTTGAGGAAGGCCAGAGTCTTGGCCTTCTTCTCCTTTGGGCCTTCGGGCCGGTGCTTATGAACCCGGCTGCGACTGGCCAGGGAGATGTGAATGTAGAGCACCGTCATGATGACCACGGGCAGGTAGAAGGCAGCGATGGCTGTGCCGAAGGTCACTGCTGGGTTGGACAGGAACTGGATGAAGCACTGGTTGTCTGGCACTGTCCGCTTGCCCACCACAAACTGCCAGAACAAGATGGCGGGTGCCCAGAGCACGAAGGACAGGACCCAGGCAGCGGCGATCATGAGGCCCGCCATCTTGGTGGTGCGCCGGGCTGGGTAGGTAAGGGGCTTGGTGACGCAGAAGTACCGGTCAAAGCTGATAATGAGAAGGTTCATGACAGAGGCATTGCTCACCACGTAGTCCAGGGCCAGCCACAGGTCACAGACCACGGCGCCCAGAGGCCAGTAGCCCTTGATGATGTACACGGTGTAGAGGTTCATGGAGAAAGCGCCTATGATGAGATCGGCACACGCAAGGCTAAAGAGGAAGTAGTTGTTGACTGTCTGCAGCTGCCTGTTGACCTTGATAGACAGCATCACCAGGATGTTGCCCACGACAGTCACCAGACTCAATGAGCCTGTCACTGTGGCGATGAAGATCATCTCCACTGTCTCATAGCGGTTATGGGTTGATGTGACCAAGCGTACAGACTGGTTGCCTGAACTGCCGTTGACTGGTGTGAAGTTCGCCATTTTGGTTAGCAGCAGTGCGCGGGCAGTGTCTGGAGAAGGAAGGAGAGAGAGAGAAAAGGGTGACCTCTTGAAGCGGATTACAGAGGTAACTCAAGGTGACAGAGAGACATCATTGTGCAGAACCTTAGAGGACTTTGACCCACCGCTTCCTCATTCCTTCCTTCCTTCATCTCTGACCGAGTACCTACTCTGTGCAAGTACTGTTCTAGGCTTGGAGTTATAGACGTGAAAGAGACACACAGCCCCACTCTCACGGACCTTACAGTCTGATCAGGGCAGACATACAAACATGTAAGCAACAAAAAAAAGTGCTAGAAACAAGGCAGGGCAACAGTATGGTGAGTGCGTCAGAGGACAGACACGGATGCTTCCTTGCTGGGTGATCAGTGAAGGCCTCTCCAAGGAGGTGATATCTGGACAATGGTGAGGAGGCAGCCATGTGAAGAGCGGCAGAGGTGGTTTGGTCAGAGCAAAGGTCCTGAGGCATGTGTGGGGCACAGACAGAAGGCCAGTGTGTGCGGGCCCCAGAGAAGCCATGGAGAGGGCTTGAGTGGTCCCAGGGGTCGCATGTAGCCCTGGCCAGAAGTGTTCATTCATTCACCTCCTATGTCATTTTGCAACCAAACATCACCAAGGGGGAACCTGGTTCAATCCTTATAGAAGGTACTGGGGACAAAGGCAAGAATATGTATGAGCAGCTAACACTTCACTGTCTACTAAGTGTCCGGCACTTTCTGTACTTTTTATAAATACTAATTTCTTCCTCACGACAAATCTGTGAGGTAGAAACCTTGGTTTTTCACTACTTACAGAAGAGGAAACAAAGGCACAGAGATGTTAAATAACCTGACCCAGGTTCCACAAAGTCCTTGACGTGTCTCCGGCCCAGGGTTAAGTGTTCTGGCAGAGGGAGGCCTAAAGAGCCACAGGAGGCAGCGGTCCCACCTCGGGGAGGGCTCCTGGGATGACCAGACGGGGCATGGAGTGGGAAGCCTCAAGGATGAGGAGGAGAGTGCTGTGTAGAGAGGCTGGGGAGGTACATGCCATTGAGATATCCGGCCACCCCCGGCCTCCCGCCCAGCCTCAGGGCAGGGGAATTAGGGACTGTCCGCAGCCAGCGGGAGTGGTCAGCCAGCGGGAGTGGTGGGGGCTGAGGACCGTGAGCAATCAGAAGCCTAGAAGCCTAGAGGGCCCTCCAGCCAAGGAAAGGCACACATGGCTTCCAAGGGGCCAGGGCCAGCCCTCACCCCGACTGAGAACCCAAAGGAAACGCAAAGGGACCCCGGAGTGTCTCGGTGGGGGGAAGAGAGGCAGTGCTGCAGGGGAGCCTGTGGTAGCTAGAGCCCCCCCACCCCCACCTGGGCCCACCAGCACACACAGTGGGCCCCCCCCAAGCACACGGCCTGCAGCCCCCCCCCAGGTTCCTCTTCATCTCTCCCCCGCCTTCCTCTCCCATACACGTGAGAGAGGCCCACGCCTGGCGCTCTGTGCCAGGGCAGCCGTTCAGCCCAGCCTCCTTCACACCCGCCAACATGCACACCATTACACACACGCACACGGGCCCCCTCCCAGCCCCGCCAGCCCCGAGCACTGTCGTATACACAGCGTCCGTGTGTGAGAGAAAGAGAGAGGGAGAGGCAGCCGGTGTGGAGGAAGGAGCACTCCCCCTGCAGCCCAGGCTCCAAGGCCAGCAGGGTGGAGCTGCGTGGTCTTAGACAAGCCACCTCACCTTTCTGCCCTTCTCTTGATCATTCGCAAACCAGAGGGGACTGGGGCCTGAGACCCCTCCCAAGCAGCTATGGGGATCAGCAAGTAGCTTTCCATCTCCAGCATGAAAATGCACTGGAGGCTGAAGGCACATACCAGGGTGACACCCACCCCCCACCCAAGCCTGGCCTCGACCCCCCTCACTCACCATTGCAGACACAGCCCCCGCCTCCTAGCCTGGCATTTCATGATCGCCTGTCCAAACCCTTGGTTCTCAGGAGGACAGGCTCAAAGAGGGGTGTGGCCACCACCAAGGTCACAAACGGGTCAAGGGCAAAGGCTAAATACCACGCTCTCTGGGGGCTCTGACAGCTCCTTTCAGCTTTGAGAGCTTCAGCTGTCACCCTCTGAGCTGGGAGGGCAGAAGCCAGCGGCAAGGAGAGGCTGCCCTCCCCAGGCCCGTGCAGGCAGGTGCAGGGTGGGCATCGGTCCGCCAGCTCCAAGGAGAGCCTCGCGTTAGCCTCCCCAGGCCAGGACACAGGCCAGCAAGATGGCAACAGGGCTGGAGGTGCCACATATGAAAAACATTAACAGCCCTGGCTTATTGAGTGTTAACTATGAGTCAGGAACCCCTCTGAGCTTTTTATATAGATTATCTGGTTTAATCCTTGCAGAAGCCTGATAAGGCAGCTACTATTAGTATCCCCATCTCACTGATGTTAAGTATCTTTCTACAGATGAGGATAATGTTAATTAACTTGCCCAAAGTCATCCAGTCTGTAAGTCGCGGGGCAGGATTAGAACCCAGGATCCACCTTCTCAAGCTCAACCTGCCTCCGTTTGATTTCCTGCCTCTACTCTCCACTGTTCAAAACCAAAGAACTAAGGATCCCCTCCCGCTCCCTGCAGGCTCCCCTACTTAGCCTTCCCAGAAGAAAAGAGACTTCTTGTCTCCATTGGGGACATCTTGTCTCCAAGGAGGAGGCAGGTGGCTTAGTTCCGCTCTGGGTCCGCTTGGGGAAGCTGTCAGCGGCAGAAAAGGTGAAGCGTGGTGTCCCCCGCCCCCCACCGCACCGTCTTTCTGGACCCCACCTCGGGGGCCTCCCGGAGGCATTCAGACAGCAACTCTCTCTGGGGCGTTTCTCTGATCCAGGCCCGCCCGAGATCTGGGAAGGCAAGCAGCCGCTGCCCAGGGCTGTGCACACCGCTAGATGGCAATGTCGAGCCCTGGGTGCCAGCTCCGGACTCCCGGCGGGCGGCCGCTCCTCGCCGCCGCCCCCAGCTCCAACGCGACCGCGAACAATGAGGAGGCTCCAGGGAAGGGCCTCACAGGGGAGGGACGAGGTTCGCCCCACCCAGCCACCGAGAGCTGCCCTCGACTCGGCGCGGGTTCAGTGGTGGGAAAGTTAAGGGCGCCCGACTTCCACTCGGCCCCGCCGAGGAACGTGTGGGCGGGAAGGCGAGTGCGAGTTCTGTTTGTGTGTGATTACTGGGGAGCGCGAGTAGAAGCTAGTAGCTGCGTGTGCGTGTGTGTGCGCTCGGCCACGCCTGGATACCAGTGTGCCCGTGTGCGCGTGAGCAGGCCCGTGCTATGTGGACACGTGCTTGTGCATGCGTGTGCGGTCCCGGAGTGCTTTGGCCTGGTGGATGCACACGATTCGAGTGTGCTCTGTACCTTTGAGTTTGTGTACAGGAGCAAAGGCAGGGGCCACAGCAGGCGCCCTGGCTCCGTCCAAAAGCCCCTGCCAGGAGACTCCGCTCAGACCTTGGCTGTCTCAGCGCAGAGATCAAGTCAAGAGCCAGTGTCTGGATCGTGTCCCGCTCGTGGGTGGGGAAGGGTCGTGGCCAGGACGGCAAGGTTAGACTGCAATCTGGGCTGCAACGGGTCTCCTGACCTTGGGGCATCGTCTTAGCCGGCGCCCAGCGGTGTCCCGTTTCTCAAAGCTGCGGTGTGGAGTCCCAGCCTGCGACCGACTTCTGTCGAGGGGCCGCTGCTTGACTCGCCCCACCAACCTTACAGGGCACCAGGCTCAGTTCAGCGTGCCCACTGAGCATTATGGCCAAACGGCACCCAGTCCACGCGAAGGAGTGTACCGGCAGCACCCTCAAAACGGGGAGGCCCAGCCAGGGCTGGGGTCAGTTGAGTGTAATATTTTCCCCCTCCCATAACCCTGTGCCCCGCCGGAAAGGCACCTTCTGGCCCTAGCATCTTGAGTGGGCACCCGGTTTCTCAAACCCTGGGCCTGGGTGGACCTGGAGGGGCGGGATGGGAGTTATTATTTGAGCTCATCTAGAGGCCCCGCCAGGTCTCCGTCCTGGTGGATGGGGCCCTGGTTCTCTGGTGCCCCGCCCTCCCCCCAAACCCCTAGCACGCAGTTCCTGCAGCCTCTGGGCGTGGGCACCATGCTTTCCCGGGTTCTGGAGCACCCCCCCCCCTTTCCGGACGAGAAGGGAGCGCGTGCTCCAGACGACGTGGGGAGGGGGTTGGGGCGTGGGTCCTTGGTTCTTAGCCATTCACTCTAGGGTTCTGGGAAGGCTGTGGCCCCTGGGGCGCGAGAAAAGACTCAAGAGTTCACTGGAGGGAGAAGGAGCTCAGGCAATTTGGCATCGACATTGCGCTGACACTTCCGCCACTGGGCCCGGGGCTTGGCTCTGGCTCTCCCGGGCTCGGAGCCTGGGCAACTGCAGGGAGTAGTCCTGGAGTGGAGGAAGGGCACCAGGAGAGGGTAGGGGTGTTTCCGTCGGGGTTCAAGGTCGCGGATGGAGGACTTCGTGGACCGGAGTGGGCTGGCAGCTCCGGGGGTGGGGGGCGGGGAGACGGGCGGGAAAAGGGCTCCTTAGGGCTCCGGAGCCTGGCGCCCTCCAGAGCTGCCAGTGGGAGGGCTGGAGTGCGGGGTCCCGCCCCCGACGGCTGCCCCTGGCGCCTTGAGGGCTGTGGGCGGGCATCCCCTCCCCCGACCTCCCGAATGTCCATTCCTTCCCAGAGGCGCACCTGGAGAAGCTTCCCGAGACTCTGGGTCTTTCTTCCCGCGGGGACCCTCACCCACCGGCCCTGTGCAGCTTCCAGCACCGTGTTCACCCCCAAAGGAGCCTGGGGCCCCGTCCCAGTGGGAATCGCCTCCGGGGAGCCTTGGAGTATCCGGGAGCCCCGCGTCCTTCTCCCGCAATCGAGTCCCCCCGCCCCCGCTCCGCCGCGGAGTCACTTACCAGACACCTCCGCCCCGCTCCCCTCGCACCTGACAGACGGCGGGACCAGAGGGCGGCCCGCGGGCCAGCGGGCGGGGCGCACGGCCCGGCCGCGGGCCGGGGGCGGGGACGGGGTACCGAGGGGCGGCCCCTGCTCCGCCCGCAGCTCCCGGCGCTGTGGCTTCGACTCGCGCTCACGCTCGCACTTTTCCCCGAGCCGCGTGATGTCACGGGGAAGCAGCCAATCCTGGTGGGGCCGCGCCGCCCGCCCCGGACCGGCCACCCAACTGCGACGCGCGGGGGGCACCACCCGGGGCGTCGGGGACCCCAGTTACGCGCGCCCCTCACTGAGCCGGCCTGCAGCTCCCAGCTCGGGCACTGTGGGGGGCACCGCCCACGGTCAGCAGTACGGCTTAGAGGGGGGCGCTGCCCTCCTGGGAGGCAGGGATGGGGGGAGGGTGGGGTGTCCGCGTTGTCATGGGGACGCGGCGCCCCCTCGCGGGCTGGGGAGGGAGCTGGCAGCCCCGTCTGGCTGCGCTCTCCGCCTCCGCTCTGACCAAGCACCCGGGACCCGGAGGTGGTCTTGCGCTCAGCCGGGACCTCACTCCTTACGGGTCCCCGCTCACAGCGGGACCTCGGAGGCGCGAGTGTTTGACCCTAACAAGAGGTTACGGGTGGGTGGGGTCGGCTCAGCTGTCACGGTTCCGTCGGGGCGGAGAGCCGAGGGCCGGCAGTATCCAGTCTCAGGGCGGCATGTTGGCCGCCGGGCAGCCAGAGAAGAGGGGCGCCGTCGGGGCCGGGGAAGGAGCTGGAGAGAAGACAAGCAACAGTCCGCCAGGGAGAGAGGAGCCCGCCCATCGCACACAATCCCCGCTTGGCCCCCCACCCCCACCGCCCGGCTCCCTAAGTCCAAGCTGGGGAAGGGGTGCGCATCCTCCCTCCAGCCCCGGGATGCGACGCGAACCCATTCAGCCGCGACCTGGAGGGCGAGTTCACTGATGCCGGTGAGGGAAAGCTGATTGCCCAAGGTCACCTGCACGGAGCCCGGAACGGAGACCCCAGAGGGCGAGCTGCCGGTCTCAAGGTCTCCGCGAACCTCACTGGCCGGAGGCTGGGGACTCGGGACCTTGCCTGCACCGAGCGGAAGGGCCCGGGAGCCCGCGGCTGAGGCGCCCGCGGGACCGAGTCGGTGGCTTCGTGGCTTCAGCACCTCGGAGAGCTCCACCCGCCCAGACACCCGCGTTTCTGCCTCCATCCGAGACTGCCCTTCCTGGGGCCAGGCAGGGTCGGACTCGTCTCCCTACGCCTAGGCCCTGAGACCTGTCATCCCCAAACTTTGAGCGCAAACACCCGGTTAACCTTCAGACCGCTGGTTCCTTCTTCAGGAAAAACAACATAGGTCCCGCCCTTCCCTCCCTCCCCCCAGAACAGGGTGGGGGGCTGTGAGGGGGACAGTGGAGGCGGGTAAGGCAGTGGAAGATAGGCGGCAGGCGCTGCCAGAGAAGGGGTGGTAACTGGGGCACGAGCCAGCGCTGCGGGGCTTTTGGTGTGTTCTCCATGCTGAATGAGGAGGTGAAGGTCCGGACCAGTGCTCTCCAGGGCAGCTGGAGTTGGCTGTCTAGGTAAGAGTGAGAAGCCACCGTCCTTTACGTGAATGATCTGGTCTCCCATGAGCCTCATAACCAATGTTGAAAGAAGCTACTGTTCTTGCCCCCACTTCACAGATGAGGAAACAGGCTCAGCTGGCTCCTAGGACAATCAGATGACAGTCCTGCTCTTGTTTCACTTTGCCGCTTCTCTCCTAGGGTCCAGGACAGGGTGGTGCTCCTAGGAAGGTGGAAGTGTTGTGTGTGTGTGGGATGCAGGGGTTGGGGACGCCAGACACTTTAAAAAGTCAAACAAGCCAGGCCAAAGACAGGGAGTCACAGAAACCAGGTCTCCAACCATTGCCTTGAGTTCTGCAGAAACTATCAGGCAAACTTGCTCTCCTACTTTCTAAATGGCTGAAACCCTTACCATTGGGTGGGGTTGACCCCTCCAATCCCAGAACTGACAGGAGGACTGTGAAGAGCTGAATTGGGAACCAAGGGACCTGATTTTGTCTTGGGACCTTGGGCCGAACTGGGTCCGTAGACAACTTGGGTCCATAGAACTTCTCTGAACCTAATTCTTCATCTCTAGATGGGATTGCCAAGCTCTGCCCTGCTCACCCAACACCCCTTGTTACAATGGAAGGGGCTCTGAGGATTTACCACTAGTAGGGGATTCTATCCACCAGGCAAGGGCTTTCTAAGGAAAGGAGATGATGTGGAGACAGAAAGGTTGGACAGGAGCCTCCAAGAGATAGCTGCTGGGTTCGTCCTTGGCCAGACCCGGCAGAGGCCAGGCAGGCAGGACCAAATTTGGATCATCTCCTCCACAAGGCTTCTTCATAACCCGTTTTCCAAAATAACACAGTAGGTTTTCCCTCTGGGTTTAAATCCTGGCTGCACCAGTTATATGTGTGGTCTAGGGGTAACACCAGGACTCATCTCAGAAGGCTTTTGTAACGAAGAAAAAAGTCCTTGGCACGTGGTTTACACTAAACAAATTCATACTCCCGACAGTCAGAACAAGGAATTCTTCCTCGCACTGTGTGTGTGTGTGTAATATGTGGGTGGAATGCGGGGATTGCAGTGGGGTGCTCTTTTTCCACCCTTCAGGGAGTAGCTCATATCCCACCTCTTCAAGGAAGCCTGGTCTTAACCACTCCAGTGCTCTCTGACCTCAAATGACTTGAAATTATAGAGCTGCAAGTAACTTTAAGAGGTTACATAATACAAGCCCTATATCCTACAAGGGAGGAAACTGAAGCAGAGAAAAGGCAAGTGGCTTGCCCAAGGTCACACGGTGAGGTGATGTGTCTTTTAGTCCAGAGTCCACTTTTACAATTTTCAAGAAAATTCCAGTGTTTGTGACTATGTAATTACTCTTCACACTTTCACAGTTTTGTATTACTTGCTCAGCCATTTGATCTTTTGGTTTTGTCCCTGTTGGGATAGAATCTGTAATTCTACATGCCCCAGAGCATCTGGGACAGAGTCAGACACACAAGGGACAGCCAGGAAACAGCTGTTGCTGACAAAAATCCCTGGGGTGGCTCTGTTTTTCCTGTATACTTCTGTAAGAGTGGGGCAAATATTTTTCTCCTACTTTCTAACTGGCTTGAAACTCAAAAGTGGCCAAGGATCATGACTAGAGTAGGCCCTTCAGCTACTGTCCTAAGAACACAAAGTAAAAGGGGACGTGAGCAGTCAGCAAATGGCATCTTTGAGGGATGTGTGGAGATGAGACCAAGCTTCCTACCTGGCCAGCCCAGACACCCATTATGGGTGGTTTCCGGTGACCAGAGGACACCCAGCTTTTCTGCCAGTTACATCTTCATTCCAGACCCACAGTCCTGGGTAGGAAGCAATCAAGATGAATGATGTTCTGTCATTCCTACACACCTACCTGTCACAGTCAAGGCTGCCCCAATCCTTAGCAGACAGACCCGGGGGAAGTAGGAGGTGGTAGCAGTAGACATTGTATGGATAGAGACGTAGTATGAAGCCAGCTTCTGCTGAGGGGACAGATAGGGCTCCCCACATAGGACAGCAGCCCTAGAAACAGAGCCTGGGAGAACCTGGGCCCAGCCTGGTTCAATGAATCCCCCCCTCCCCCCCCCCACAATATCCACCCCCCTCCTCCATCCTCCAAGGAAACAAACAGAGAGGAGCCTGGTGAGGGGCATGTCATCATTTTAATGATGTAGATCTTTGGTGTTTCCCTCATTAGCAGTCAGACTATCCCCTCTCCTCCCACCACAATGTTTCTATGATGAGTTACAAACAGAAAAGAAATCACATTTTCATACTAAAAACAAAATAATCAGAGCCTTGATTTCTCCACTAGAAACTACACGTACAGTTCAAGATTCCACATGCAACACCTTAAATCACAGACCGAGACCTCACATTCTGACCTGGAGTCTCACCCCCTCCCCCAGCCTTGGGCTGGCTTTGGCCTAGGCTCAGCTAATACTGCCACCCACAGGTGCTGCTCTGAGGGCCTGGGGGCCGGGGGAGAGGAGCCTGGTGGACAAGCCCTGGGGGCTGGCCAGCCTACACCCCCCACTCCTGAGTGAGGACCTGCCCACCATCCCTGGACTCTACCGTCTTATCAGGCCAGCAGGCTGCCCCCTCTTCACTCCATGGTTGTCTCCCATCAGTAAGTGCAGGAAGTCCCTGTCCTCAGGAGTCTGGGAGCCTGGCCTGACCCTGACTGTGGTCTCTAGGGGATAAGGTGACCAAGAGAGGCTGAAGCTCTGGAAGGCTCAGAGGTGGAGGTGGTTCCTGGGGGCCAGGCTGTTCTTCCCACTCTCGGGCTCCTGGTGGCTCTGCCCATGCAACGGGCAGACAGGGCAAAGCTGCCCCACTGGCCACTGTCCAGGATGGTTTGGCCCAGATCTGGAAGACGGTTCACCCTTCTAAGGCTCTCTGTCCAGGGGCAAGTCTCTTAAGCCATGTTTCTAGGAGAAAGGGGGGCTCATGGCAGGGACGGCCACTTCCTCCTCCATTCACACGCAGCACAGCAGCATGGCTCCCTGGGCTCCAGATCCTCGGAAGGTTCTAGTCCCCTGAGGCAGGCCTTGCCCATCCGACCCCCTCATGCCCACTGACTTGGCCTTCGTCTCGATCCCCCACCCTCTTAGCTCCTGTTCCCTGATGCAGCCCGCAGCTCTTCCGCGTGTACAGTTCCCAGTCAGCTGTGAGGTCCGGTTTCTGCTCAGCGGTTCGAGGGGAAGCACCAGTGCACACGTGTGTCTCTACCTGTTCCGTGGCTCCCTGCTGGGGCCTGCAGCTTCCCCCCTGCTGCCACCGCCATCGGCAAGGTGGTTGTTATTGGTCAGGTCGCAGTGCAGGGCTGGTCCTTCAGTGCTGGGGAGGGGGAGCGGGGCTGGGACAGGGGAGGAGGAGGGCAGGGTGGGCTGAGGCAGCTCCCGCCCAGGGACACCAGGCTGGTCCCAGCAGGCTGTCCGGGGGCTCACGCCCCGCTCTGCCAGCTGCCCAGGC